CAAAACAAAACCATGCCTGCTTTTCTCTTAGATGTCTCTGTTTATAGCAGGCTTACTTATATAGCATTTACCAGAATAGTTTGTCACCCAGTGACCCGAACACTGTTTCTGAGGACCACTTCCTACAGTCTGGGAAAGATCAACAATGGGGTTCCCTTATAAACAAAAATGATTAGGCACCCTCATATTTCAAATACAAAACTGGAAATCACAGTCTCAGAGAAAACATATGTACAATATCACAGCTTGGATAAAGCCTTTAAACTCTTCCCAAGTCACCACCCATACTATTTAATGGTTTTCATCCCTCCTTCTCCTTATTCAAATTAGGAACGGCGCTTCACGTTTACAGTCTTTTGAAGTTAAAACGTTCAGTAAAATTAAGCAGATCTCCTTAATTCATGTAATACTGTTGCTCCTCTTGATGGAATACAGCTGGAGAAAGGGCAACACTAGTGAAAAACAATTTCTGGAGCCTTGTTAGCAGGTGCCAAGAAAGATCAGGATGCCATGATAGTGGTGCCAACAACAGCTAACGTTTGCTTCCCATGTCCCGTGTCCTGTGTTATATTTCTTCACTCTATAAAACACGACAAGTTTCTCCTTCAAACTCCAACCCTCCATATTCTGGTGATGGGAACGAGGGTCAGAAATGGCCAGTTGTTCCTACGTAGAAAGAGGAAGAGTCAGGATTCAGATCTCTGCTATTGGGGTCCAGCACCCATGTATTCCCCACCATCCTCTGTTGCCTCTTCTGACTCAGAAATGTTTGAGAATGTTTTGTCATCTGAGCCATAGGTGCATACCCACAGCTTGCTCCAGTTATTCAAAATTGAAGTTTGGGAAGCCATACTCTTAAGATGATTTATTTCCTATTATTTATAGCTTTTCTCTGTCTTTCCTGATCCTCTGACTCTTGCCCTCATAACTGAGGGACACGCTCACTGCAATAAAGTGGAAAATAGGTTGTTAGTGTACTTTTAGTTTTGCAGTGTTTGTTTGGGTTTGGAATTACACTGGATATACTAAAGGGAATGTGTAGGGGATCACACTGGAGGGGATATGTAGAGGGGATCACGCTGGAGGGGATGCAGAGAGGGGATCACACTGGAGGGGATGTGTAGAGGAGGTCACACTGGAGGGGATGCAGAGAGGGGAATCACACTGGCGGGGATATTGTAGGGGGGGGGTCACACTGGAAGGATGTGTAGAGGCTGTGCAGTGTCGGCAACTGCTCACTCTAAGCACCATCTCTAAAGTGTATTTGTATTACGGGTGCTTTCTTCAGCCCCAGCACTAACCATCCTGTGGTAACCACAGGGTGTGGATATGAATGGTGGCCTTGTTCATTCAAGGTCTTTGGGGTGCATAAATTGCTTTTTCTCTAACGTTAAATTTTTTATCTATTTAATGTGGGGAGTAATTACTATTTTTTATTCCTCCAACTGTATCTCTTATGCAATTGTTCTATAGTTTTTGAGGGTTTGATACTGTGTAATGTGTGTAAAGTTTTATTTAAAGTCTTCTGATATGTACCTATTACTACTTTCCATATCTCCAGCTGTGTCATAAGAAACAGACAATGCATTCACTAACCACACGTGTACAGTGCTGTGAAGTCTATGCTGTCTGGAAACCATGAATAAAAATGACTTTCATAACATTTTTAAATTATTTCATTTTCATTTTCAGATGTTTCCTGGAATACTTTCTAATTTGTCTTTCTTAAAGATTGACTAGGTGGTACTATTTAATGCCAACTCTTACAAAAAGGTCTTTTATCTTTGCCATTATTTTCATGTTTTCTAAGGATATTTTTGCCTGTATTTTCCTTTTCTCTCATTCCAGTGAAAACTGACATTATCATTATTACCATTACTACTATGCAAATGACTATTCTTTCACATCTCTGGGAGTAAGCAGAATGCCTTTTAATTGTCTAGTCTGAGCAGCCAGACTAGAACACTGTGGATGTGGGTTTTGTAAATCAGTCCAGGAAAATAAAAACTTACATTCCCAGACGCATCCAACCTCGAAGGTACATAAGAAAATGAAGCCCCTGACTAAATACTATCAGTAGGAGTGTACTTCAGAGGTACATTGTCTGCCCAACAGGAAAGAGACTTTGGTTGGTTCCCCAACACTGTAAAACAAAGCAAAACAAAACAAAATTTAGAGATGATATTAGTTACTGTTACTGTTACAATCCTGAATACTAATTATTATTAGGCAACTGAATGACATTATTAGTTATTGAACTGAAAACAAACAAGATAAATATCGTGGTGTGGAACTAGTACCGGGTGTTCATGTTAGCAAGGCACAAAACCATGCAAACAGAAGTGAATTGTTAGACCTTAAAGGAAAAGAAAAGGTGAGATGGTTGACTGGTGACTTATTTATTAAGATATTTATTTTTAATACAATCTTCTCATTTTACATACTAATCCCAGTTCCCACTTCCCCCTCTCCTCCCACTCCTCCACCTTTCTCCCACTCCCATCTCCATCCATTCTTCAGAGAGAGGGTAAGGCTTCCCATGGGGAGTCAACAAAGTCTGACACATGACTTTGAGGCAGGACCAAGGCTCTCCACCCTATATCTAATGTGAGAAAGGTATCCCTCCAAAAAGAACGGGCTCCAAATAGCCAGTTCAAGCAGTAGGGATAAATCCTGGTCCCACTGCCAGTGGCCCCACAAAGCCATACAACTGTCATCTCCATTCAGAGGGCCTAGTTTGGTCCTATGCTTCTTCCCCTACTATCAGCCTGGAGTCAGTGAGCTCCCACTAGCTCAGATCAGGTCTTTCTGTGGGTATCCCCATCATGGTCTTGACCCCTTTGCTCATATTATTGCTCCTCACTCTCTTCGACTGGTCTCCAGAAGCTTGGCCCAGTGCTTAGCTGTGGATCTCTGTATCTGCTTCCATCAGTTGCTGGGTGAAGGTTCTGTGATGACAATTAATTTATTTTACTTGTAATTATGTGTATATATGTATGTGCCCTATGTGTGGGTTTATGTAGGTGAGTACAATGCTTGCACAGATCAGAAGAGGACATTAGACCCTTTGGAGCTAGAGTTATAGGCAATTGGCCAACATGAGTGATGAAAATTGTGTTGGGGTCCTGTGGAAGAGCAGTTAGTACTTTTAACCAATGTACCATCTCTCCTGTCACATTAATTAAGGAAGAAAGAACAGAAGATGGGGAGGGAAGAGTGAGAGAGAGAGAGAGAGAGAGAGAGAGAGAGAGAGAGAGATGAATATGCACAAGAGAGATAAGTGAGTATACAACAAGAAGAAAATAATAATTTAAGGAAGATCTTAGAAATGATCATAGAAAAGAACAGTTTAGCCTAGAGAGACAGCTCAGTGGTTAAAGCACTAGCCATACAAGCTTAAAGACTGAGTTTAAATCTTTAGAACCAGTTTAAAAGCCAGATACATAGCACATATATGTAATCCTACCCAGTGTTCTGTGGTAAGGCAGAGACAGAATTCTACAAAAGCTTGTGGGTTAGTTAGCGTAGCATATTCAGCAGAAAGCAAAGAAAGAATTCTGTATCAAACAAGGACCAGTACCTGAGAACCACACTGGAGGACTGGCACCCAATGACCAATACCTGAAGACCAACACCTGAGGACGAATACCTAAGGATCAATACCCAAGGACTAATACTTAAAGACCAATATCTGAGGACCAACATCTGAGAATTAATAGTTAAAAACCAATACCCAAGGAGCAGTACCTGTAGAGCAACACCCAAGAACCAATTCCCAAAGACCAGTATCTGAGGACCAATACCTGAGGTCATTTTCTGCCTTTCACACAGAAGTGTCACACTCACGAATGCACTGCCATCTCACATACATGCATATGCATACATATGTACATACATACAAAAGGAACATGTCAAAAGTGTGTCACCAAGGCCCCTGCTCTTAAATTTGGTGATATAAAGAAAAGCCAAGTCTCATGTATTTTATAATTGAAAACCATGAGAAAGTGAGCAAAATGGGAGTATCAGAGTTGGAGAGATCTCATCTTGGATCTCTTTGGGGATTATTTTCTTTCTAATGTTCTGAAGCGTATGCTTTGTAATTAAAAAGAATGACATTTGTTCTGTCCCATCTGTGATGGAAGAAAGAGTTTAGGGTCCCAGTGAAACAGAAACGGAGAGCATGAATTTGGCCAAGACCCTGAGGCTGCAGCCTGCAGCTACCTTAGGTCCTACAGTGATGGGAAAGGGCTGGCTCACATGACATCGAGTAAGGCAGAAAGGTAATTAACCAATAAGAAACAAGGTGTTACCAGAAAGATAGAGTTCATGCACCTGATTACTAATTAATCAGGCATGAGAGCACCTTGTAGATGCATTCACTATTTAATTATAGCAGCCTCTCTCGGCAAAGGAGCATATGTTCCCAGCTTAATCTACTGGTTTATACTGACATCAAATTGTCATTATCAGAAAGAATCAGGCCTTTTGATTATTTCCACTAATTTATTGAACACTTAAAATTAATGAACCCCAGGTCTTTTAAATGCGCTTGGTTGGTTTGGAAGAAGGGAGCAGATAGGGGGAGTAGGGTGGGGGCAAACCTTCATTAAAAGGACAATTTGTTTGGGAAAAGGTAAAACAAGTACATTTCATGGGTGATCTCCACTCTGTTGGTGAGCAATGCATGTGCTCTACAAACTTAGCGCGCAAAGTTATGGACATAGGAAGTCAGACGCACCTGCTGGACACCAGTGGCCTCCACAGGGTGCATGCTAAAGTGTTTTCCTCCTTCATTGCTCATCCCTCTGTCATTATACTTAATCAGATCAATGCAAACAAAATAGAACGGTAGAAACGAAGTGCTCTCTTAATTAACAAGGACTCCTTTCTCTTTCATTTCCAGATTTTGTTTTGGGTGGGCAGACTAAAATGCAACGCCGTGATTCTCCTCTATGTGGGGTATCTCGGCATCACACTCACCTTATTCTGCTTTCTTTTAGTTTCAGGGGAAGGCCAAGTTCAGGTGTTTCTCCAGGTGAGGGAAGGTGTGCCTCCGACTGTTTCAGGTGAGTACTACACACTAGACAGAAAGAAGGTCCACCAGAGCAGAATGTCCTCCTGTGGGCCCCTCCTCTTCTTTGTTTATGCACAGGCAAGCATCAGCTCTCATGCTGTTGAGCCTGACAGCCCTCTGCTGTGCTGTCCTATAATTAAATATATGCCTGAATGTCAAGAGAAGATATAGGATGCATTTGCTTTTCAAAACAATAGAATGTAAGAATTGTAACATGTAAATAAGCACATTTCATAAATTATGAGCCATATGTGCACACAGGATTCCAGATCTGCAGATGGGCCATTAGGCCCCCTCCAAATGGAGAGAAAAAATCCAGGGTATCTCTAAACTTTAATTGTTCCTGGTAATTTCAGGAAATCAGGATAAACAAACGCTCCCCAAAAGTCAGATGGTTCTGTGAGATCCTGCTAACTCAAAAGAGCCGAAGTCTCAAAGACTAAACATCTCATAACCACCTTTTAATGTATGTCTCAGTTTGTTTTTGTTTATTGTGAGTCAGTTTAACTGTACATTTGCAGGAGGAATAAAGCCTTTCAAAGGCAGGGTGTTCCTTTGATTTTCAGGGGGATATTTGTGTTATGTCACAGAAGAGTCATACTAATTAAAAACGTTCAAATTCTTCCATTTCAATTAAAAAACAAACGATGTAAAGTTACCGCACTAAGCTAAGGGAAGGACTTTTTGGCTACCAGTCCATGCTTCTTATATTGCGATAAGTGCAGTTAAGACTGACTTCACGGCGGCATCCCTGTGTCTGCTGTGTTTCACTCTGTCTATCTTCCATCTTTATTCCAGCTTTGCCTTTGGGTGCCTCAAAACTCCCAGTTTATTGATTTCCTCTCTATAAGTTGTCTCTTTGTGGTGTGTGTGTGTGTGGGGGGGAAATAACAACCATGAGCAAGAAAAACTGGTTCTTATCTTTATAATGTCTTATTGACTCTGGAAGGTGTCAAATAAATGATAAAGTAATTAATTTAGCATTCCCTTTTAAATAACTTACCATTTTTTTTCCTCTCCGAAAAATCTTGTCTTCAAATTCCACAAAAGTAGGAGAGTCCATCTTTCATAGGTTCGTACTGGTTGGAAAGGCTGTCTTGTGCCAGGCTCCTTTACTGTATATGGGACTACATGTGATGCCTAGATATTAAAAAGTTTACAGTGTCATATCAGCATTCAGTAGTTGAACCTCGATAAGCCCTCACATATCTCAACTCAGTACTGTATTCTTTTGTGCTATACCATGTTATGTAGTGATGGAGCTGCAGGCAGGCCTGCTTTTCGTCCCGCCCAGCTCCTGCATGGCTAGCTTAGCCCCAGAAATAACAACACACAAATTGTATTCATTTAAGCACTGCCTGGCCCATTATCTCTAGAGAGTTAGTTACTGACTAACTCTCATATCTTGATATTAACCCATTTCTAATAATCTGTGTAGCACCACGAGGTGGTGGCTTACCGGAAAAGATTCAGCGTGTCTGACCTGGTGGCTGGCTCCACGGCGTCTGCCCCATTGCCCTCTTCCCAGCATTCTGTTCTGTTTACTCCGCCTACCTAATTTTCTGTCCTATCAGAGGGCCAAGGCAGTCTCTTTATTAACCAATGAAAATAACACAATAGACAGATAACCCTCCTCCATCATTGTTATATGTGAAAGAAAATCATAGCCAGTTTTCCTCTCTTACATAACTTAGGGCAGAAAAGTATTGCAAAGCCTATGAAACCACAGAAAAATACTTCAGAAAAATATTTCAGCCAAAAGAATTCCAGAAAGTTCCCTGACTTCCATGAAAAAGAATATAAAGTTTAATAATAAATTTAAAATATGGCAGTGCTTTTTATTTAACAATCTATGGAGGAAGTGCAATCATTGCACTATCAACACTAGTTTTTCATAAACAAGGGTATAATGATTAGTGAAGTTCTACCTATGTGTTGACCTATTGCAAGCTTCCATATGAATAAGTAATGCAGTTGAAACTTTTGAGAATATACCTCAAAGAGTCTCTCCATTAATCTATTAATAGGCAGCCTGTTATATAAAAAAATAAAACAACACTGTGGAGGTTATTGTGAGGATATGGTAGACAGGAAAATTCTAGGACCATGCCAAGAAACCAGTGTGAATCAACCAACCAACCTCCCCCCAATACCATGTGTGATGAATCTCCTCGTAACTGTTATTTATCATGTCTGCTTCCTAGAAGACCAGCCTTCTCAGTGCAGATTCACAGAAATCCAGGAGGAGGGGAGTGGAGAAGGAAGGAGTAGATGGCAATATTTGGCTGATATATTCAGCTTGAGGGCACTTCAAGTTTGAGCTACTGCTGATTAACAAATTTATACAGAAAAGTAGGATGAGCAATTGTTATAAATATTGGTCCTCACCAAAGGTGACCTGAAGGTTTGGGAGAAGAGAAAAGGCTTACGTCCTCCATTGCTAAAAGCAATGAGTTTTTGAATGGTCCAATGTGAGCTGGTCTTTTTCTACTTCCAGTGCACCCTTCTTCTGTATTATGGTTTCTATCTCAAACACGGCACAGCACTGTTTCTTTCTCTCTCTCTCTCTCTCTCTCTCTCTCTCTCTCTCTCTCTCTCTCTCACTCTGTCACTCTCTCTCTCTCTCTTTCTTTTTGTAATTTTGTCATACAGTATAGTTTTATCATACTTTTTCCTCCCCAATTCCTCTGAGATCCTCCCCACCTACCCAACTTCATTACCCCTACCCTCTCCTTCTTCCCTCTCAAAATGTCCCAAAACAATATCAACCAAAATATGTACACATACTTACACACTCACATACACAAATACGGAGTTTGTTTTGTGTTGACTAACTACTTCCAGGCATGGGACCTGCACTTGAGTGTGTGTGTTTGATACGCCCAATGACATTCTCATGGAGGAAACTGATTTTTCTCTTTATCATTTGCAAATAGCTTCTTGGTTAGGGGATGGAACTTGGTGTCCACTTTTTTCACTGCTGAGATTTTATTTGATTTGAACATGTAATGGGTCTTGTGTATACTTTCACAATCTCTATGAGTTCCTATTTTTATCAGTCCTATTGTGTCTGGAAGATGTTGTCTCCTTGGAGTTGTCCATCACTTTTGGCTCTTACAATCTTTCTGCATCCCCTTGCATATAGGAACCTGAGCCTTTTGAAGAGTGGTTTGAAAAAGGCATCCAATTAAGGGGGGACTCCTCCAAATTCTCTTGTTCTCTACACATTGTGAACTTGTGTGTCTCTATGTTACCTGCCATCTACTACAAGAAGAAGCTTCTCTGATGATCATCTCATCTTGATCACACATGCCCTGATTACTAAACCTAAGGGTTACATTCCCTTTTACAGAATTTTACTGCTAACAAGATCTCATCTTGATTCATTCTATTGCACAAGAGTCCAAGAAAAGATAAGCAGTACATGGCTGACTGCTTTGTTAAAACTCAGAGTTCATTTTCTCTCCCTAACTTTCAGCGCAATATGAGCCATATAGAAGCCATATAGAAATCTAGTAACTAACACGAAACTGAATTAGGGTCTAAGGCAGAATAGAACTTGTATGTAACATTCAACATTAATGTATTCACTGGAAGATCTGGGTGGTTAGATTGAAAATAATTCTGGTCCTTTATAAACTAGAGTGATGATGGCAGAGGTGCAGGATGTTTGTTTCCACCATCTGTGATATAAATTTGAAGCAACTGTTTTTCTGTTTTCTTTCATTTGGGTCTTTGTGAAGTTTTGAAGAGCCTTGATATTGACTACAGGATAAATTACTGTATATAGAGCATCAAAAACCATGCCTGGCCTCTGTGATACTAGTTAGTGGTTATACCAACAAATGCCCTTAAGCCCTTGGACTGTTTGGGCCCCATTGAGAAGGAGGCACAGTAGAGACAAAGCATAGGAAGACATTATAGCTTTAGTATTTATAAACTATTCACATAAAGCTTCTTTCTGAGATAGGCCTGCTCTAAGAAGTGCCTTATTCCTGGGCTGTGTGGTATATTTATGTGTTAATTGTTTATAACTCCTGCATGACCACAGTGAGCATGATTTTGAGCTATTCTGGAGCTCAAATTAAACCATTAATGCTTCGGATTTGAGCACTGATAGGAAAACTGGCAGGTTTTCCCCATGCTTCTGACATCAGGGATTGTGTCTGCTCATGCTGATATCTTTGGTGATATTACATTCATCTTCAAAGACTGAAGGATATCTAATGGCAGATGACAGCATCCCCACCTTTTTTCTTGGTGTTCTCTCTTTGCTTTCGGAATCACATTCATCTATTCTTTGCCATGCATCTCCATCCGGATACCTCAAATTTACCCCAAATGCCCGCCATCTTCTCAGTTCATTAGAAGTTGACAGAACTCTTCAACATCTACCCTAATGGTCTTGAAATCTTTGGCCTCTGCCTTCATAATATTCCACTCTTTGAGCACTCCTTATTTTTTCAGAGTCATCTTTTGCTTCTTTCTATCTCTGTCTCACAAAGCTTCTTTTGATTTCCCTCTCAACATCTCATTTCTCGACCTTGTATATGCTTATGAACATTTCTCCATCTGGAGCAAGGGCCTTCACCCCTTCTCAACCTTTTGCCTAAAGAAACTTTAGGTCTTGGAAATGCTGGTCAGTTACTACTTCCTTCAGGAAAGTTCTCTTTAAAAAGAGCTGTTCTCAATCTATATGCAAGTTTTTTTTTATCTCCCAGGTATTTGTTGACATAGACTCTTAGCTGCATGGAAACAAGGATTATACTTTTTAAGTTTATCTGGGACTTATACCGCTATTAAGAACATTCTACAAAAAAGATGGTCATTTTTTATGCTTAGTGAAACTAATCACTAATAGAAGAGATTCTCGTCACCCTGTCAAGAGGTGGCCTTTCATCTTTGCTTTGTGTGACAATGTTGTGGGCCCCTAGTTGCGCTAGTATATCATGGAAAAAGCAAAATAACCACAAAAGCAGAGAAAGACAACTGGATAGAGCTCAGCATGGCAATGTCCATAATGCAGTTCTAAGAACTTCTGTATAAAGTGGTTAGTGGTTATCAATCACATGACTGTGGTACCATTAGAATGCTAACGGTCGGGGACAGAATCAATAAGAGAAAATGATCTGCACATAAGTTCTTATCCCAAGGAGTGTCCATGTCATAACAGTGCCATCCTTACACTTCAGGAGCTGGGAGACGCTCATGCTATGACTTGGCCTTTCCAAGAAAGAGTCCATTTTAAGAAGATAATCAGGACCCTGGTTAGCTGTGCAGAGAGACTGCTCACATCACATTGTTTATCATCAGAGAGATGCTCCATGTTGGATGTTACAGAGAGAGACTAACGGATGCCAGCATGATAGATCCTGTGTGATTGTAAAAATTGTGCTTTACAAGAGCTTTAATATCATTAGAAAGAACATAAGAAAAATAGCTGCACTAACAAAATAAAAACTGGAGCTGATATAATTTCAATTATATAATAACACTGAGATATGATGGGAGGAAATATAAATAAAAGGTTGATTGTGGTAATTATTATGTGGTTCTGGGTAATTATTAGCTTTTCTTTATTAGCATTTTCAAAATAATCCATAATAAGAACATATAATACCTATAATGAAGAAGAATGTTAATGTTTAATAAGCTTGGAATATAATTTCTCAAAGTATAAGAGTTGGGTAATAGTTTGCTTTCCTGCTATGAAATGTTTTATAGAAACTTCTTTTTAAAATTTTTTTATTGATCTTATTGAGCTATACCTTTTTCTGTGCTCCCCTTCCTTCTTCTCCCCTCCCATTCTACCCTCTCCCATGGTCCCCATGCTCCCAATTTACTCAGGAGAATAATTGTGTTTTTCTATTTCCCATGTAGATTAAATCCATGGCAATCTCTTTTAGGGTCCTCATTGTTGTCTAGGTTTTCTGGGACTGTGAATTGTAGACTGGTTTTCTTTGCTTTATATCTAAAAGCTGCTTATGAATGAGTGCATATGATATTTGTCTTTCTGGGTCTGGGTTACCTCACTCAAAATGATGTTTTCTAGATCCATCCATTTGCCTACAAATTTCAAGATGTCATTATTTTTTCTGCTGTGTAGTACTCCATTGTGTAAATGTACCTTTGGATTATCAGTATGGTGATTTCTCAGAATATTAAGAAACAATCTTCCTCAAAACCCAGCAATACCACTTTTGGGTATATACCCAAAAGATGCTCAATTTTAGCACAAGGACATGTGCTCAATTATGCTCATAGCAGTATTGTTTGTCATAGCCAGAACCTGGAAACAACCTAAATGCACCTCAACTAAAGAATGGATAAGGAAAATGTGGTACATTTATAGAAATTTCTAATATTCAAAAGCAACTACTTTGAAAGGTGAAAATACCAGTCATAAATTAACAGTAGATGCTTGACCTTGTCACAAAGATTTGGGTTTTCATAGTTAATTTTGCGTCTTTCCTGTGTATTCCAGCTTCCACATCTGTACCTGAATCATCTTTAAAATGGTCCCTTCCTGAAACATGGCAGGATGTTGCAAAGGGCTGGGGAGGATACAACCAGACCCTTCCAGGACCTGGTGATGACGTCTTGATTTTACCCAGTGAGTGAAACCAGTTGTGAGAAAAAAAAAAAAAAAACAGATGAACCGAACTGAACAAAATCCTATTGGCAGTAACATTTCATGGTATAATGCAGGACAGGAAAACAGTAAAAATGAGTAGCTGCTTATTTTTATGACCCCTTAGGGAAGTTGATATAAGAGAGAAACTATCTAATTTTTTTGAGGAGCCTTTATGTTGTTTTATATAGTGGTTGAATCAGTTTGTATTCCCACTAGTAGTGAGTGAGTGGTCTTTCCCCCTGGCCAGCATTTGTCATCACTTGTTTCCTTATTGGTAGCTATTTTGCTAGGATAAAATCTTCAGTGTAATTTTGATTTTTATTTTCTTTATGATTAAGAGTATTGAGTACTTTTCACATATGTATGGATTTGTACTTTCTTCTTTGAGGACTGTCAATTGAATTAATCTGTTTATTTAGACTAGATTATTTGTTCTTTTGGTGTTTAGTTAAATTATTAGTTTGGGTCCTAGGGATTGAATTGAGGACTTTATATAACTGTTCTGTTGATTGTCTTCACTTTTGAAATTGATTCCTTTGTATATTGTACACTATTCTTAGTTTTAAAAGATTTGAATGAATGAAGGAGAATAGATGTAGAAAAAGACAATTTCAGAAATATACCAAAGCAATTCACATTTAAAACATTCATTTTCCTTAACGAAAAGTCCACTGAAGTTCCATGTAACTAGAACATTTATATGGAGCACCACAAAACTTAATTCCATTTATGGTCAATGTGACTATCTCAAGGTTACAGTAAACAAAAGATCTGCAATGAGGAAAGGACACTTATCTATCTGTGAATCACTAATAATGCCACATATTTACCAAACACTAACAGCGTATCAGAGGCTGTTCTTTACGTAGGTAGTTAACCCTCACAAGGACCTTGTAAATAAAGTAAGGCTGTTGTCTTCATTTTACAGACAGAGAGACAGAGATTCATGGCTGCTGAGTGACATACAAGGTCAGAATTGCACAACGTGTAATTCAGAAGAGTGGGGATCTGAACCCAACCAATTTGATTCTGGTGCCTTATTTTTAGGTAGCAGAGCTTGTTTCCTTCCCCAAAGGACTAAGAGTAAAGTAAAAATAGAGGACATATGTTGTTCATGTTATTGACAATGTCAGAGTCAGACAAAGCACCCTGGTTACTTGGCAGCCCTTTGTGATACGTTGTAACTGCATAGGAAGATGAACGCTGAGCCAAATGAGTGGTCACATGCAAACTGGAAATATTGTCATCCCCATTATCCACCTATGTCTTCAATGGAGGATGAAACTTTTTGAATAAATAGGCTTATGAGTCATTCCTATACTGCAAAGAAAAAAGAAATCTCAACTCCCTCAGACTTTTCTTTGATGAATATAGCCAGTAGGTTTTCCCATGAAGCTGATGATTTCCCTCACTCCACGCAGGAAGTTTGTTGCCAAGCTTATAGTATCTTTGGGACTTTGATGCTGAACAAACAGCAGCAGTCTCAACTCTCTTGCTTGGCATTGGCAGCTATGTTGACTGTGTGCTCTGATGCCTGGGAGCCCTTGGCGTTTTCCATTTCCGTTCAACCCTGGGATCATCAGCAGCTCAGATGACAGGCCTGAGTTCTCCAGGAAGTTGCTCGGGAACATGCATATCTATGCTGTGGGGAAAGGAGGGCTGGGAATTCAGCTGCGAGTATAGGATATATATAATGTATCTTTTAATCCACTCAGCTGTGTTACTATGAGAACGAAAGAGGAGAGGAGTTTAAAACATACCCGGTTATTGTTGTTACATTTTGCATTCAAGTAAAAAGAGAGGTGAGGAAAAGGAGCCCTGGAATAGGTAATGAAAACCTTGCTGCTTGCCCATTGTGTTTCCTTGTTCTTGTGCCGGCAGATGGCCTGATCGTGCCCAGCAGTGAAATCCATTTGTGCTTTTCAATGTTGGGTGTGAGACAGGAGCTTGTGGGTTGTTCTTTGACAAATCTTGATATTCTGGCCTCTGATGGGTCTTCATGATGAGTCGACTTCCAGTGTTTTCCTGTAGATTGTCCTATCTGCATTCTTCACCCTTTCATAACTGCTTTTGTTTCCTTTGTTCCCAAACTTCTTCGATTCAAGTGGGTTCACCAGTTAGATACTCACTGCTGCTTGGATGAAGACCTGAGCTTAATGCTGGCAGCTGTAATTTAACAGCAAAAGCAAATCTCTGAGGTTGAAAGGTTTTACACAGTACAACTTCAAGACTGTACAAGTCCATGAAAAACTATTTCTTATCCTTTGAACAGATTCCTAAGAAATGTGAATTATTATTATTTTTTTTCTGATGACAGCACTTGGGGTGTGTTACCTACTATGCTCTCCTATGGGGACTTTTTCACTTGGTTCTCACAACTGCTTTGTAAGTAGATCCCGTTCCTACACATGTTTTTACAAATGAGGGATCTGGGACATGGTAATGTGAGGTCACCCACTCAGATTCTACCCAGTTAGTGAGTAAAGATGGTCAGGCAGAAAACCAGCACTGGGTATTCTTCTCTCCCCCTCTCCTTCTCTCTCCCCCCTCTGTCTCCCACTCACATGTGCATAAGCATAGTTATACATATGAATATACATACAGCACACAAACACACATATACACATTCATACGTACACATGTGCACACACACACACACACACACACACACACACACACACACACTCTCACTCACTGGGACTCAAACCCAGAGCCTTGTACATTCTAGGCAATTACTTTACCATTAAGACCCATACCTACCTTCTTTATTGCTTCTCCCTCTCTTTTTAAAGTTACCTTATCAATCTGCTTTGGTTCATGAAAACCAGTCTACTTTACACAAAAATTTTATTTTAATATTTATTCCTCACATTTCTCCTTTAACTTGAGATAAACAAATCAAATTGACTTATGACATATTTGCTCTTAGGAAAACCAGAGGGGAGTGGTGGAAGAAAACAGGCGGTGGTGGTACGTGCCTTTAATCCCAGCACTCGGGAGGCAGAGACAGGCGGATCTCTGTGAGTTCGAGGCCAGCCTGAGCTACAGAGCGAGTTCCAGGACAGGCACCAAATCTATACAGAGAAGCCCTGTCTCAAAACAAAACAAAACAAAACAAAACAAAACAAACAAACAAACCAAAAATATAAAAACTCAACAACAGAGGAACTGTTTAGATGGGAGCCTATCACAATGAACCATTGGTAAAAATCATTTGCCTTATGTCTGAGTTCATGTATCATATATTTAGGCACCGAAAGTGAGTAAGCTATACTCACTCTCAGACTGCCAGTGATTTAGTTGTGTTAATAAAACATACAATGAACAATAATAATCCCAAACTACAACAAACACAGTGTGCTTAGATGCAAACTGTCTTCAGTGAAGAGAGGAAAAGTGGGTCTTGGAGGAAAAGATATGTGAAATGGACTGCGAACGATGGGGTACGAATTCAAAGCACAATTATAAGACTCTAGGAAAATGGGGAATTCCTCAGTGGATATAGAGTGAGCCATCAAATAGGACAAACCCGGGTTTCCTATTGGATTCCTGACATTTACCAACTGTGTAAATGACCCTCATCTATATAACATGAGGGCTAAGATTAATATATCATAATACTAAGAAGATGAAATGAAATCTCGTCAGCCCACATGACCACTGCTTCAATTGTTTGTAGTAATGGAATCGGAGGTGAAGGCTGTGATTTGTGGTGTGTAGGAGTGCTCTTTCGCTTTCTCTTTGCCACCTGACTGCCCCTCTTGGCCTCTGATATTAGCGACACTTTGTATTTGCTTTCCAAAGGCTTATTATTTAATTTTCACAACATCCTTGGGAGCTAAATAGGTAATAACTATTATTACAGTAAAAACCCATTTTTGCATAATACGATTTTAATGGAACTGCTGATTTTACAAAATGAAAGTGACTGGTAAAGAAGATTTAAGTGATACTTTTGAACCTCTAATATAATTTTATGGTGTTTTGTGTATTTTAATTCATTAATAAAGGAAATGTGTAGAACATTCCCATCATTATTCAAATAGAATAGCATAATTTTTCAATAAAATTCTTAGAGTAAATTGCCTATTTCCATTTTCTGGAAAATCAATTTTATGGAATGACCTCAGACCCATCCTTTTCCATAAAAACAGGGCTTTACTACCCCAGTACCAGGCATCACTATCTACCAGTCTAAAGCACTGTCTTTAACATGATGCTATTTTTCTTTAAGGTGGTCTGTCTTTATTGACATTGGACTCCAAGAAGGCTATAAATGTCTCCCTCTGGTATAAAAGCAGTATTCTGAGGAGATTGTGAAGAACTTGATCTTGTGGTTTAATGCACGATAATCTTGCTTTTTACATCTGCGTTGCCTCATCAGTACTGTGAGAATTAGCTCTATCCATTCTAGATGTCCTAAGTATTGAGAACAAGTTCTATGTAATCTAAGACACCAAACCCAAACCTTCCTAAAGAACAGTTCATCAACTGGCAAAACAATTCATTTAACTTTTCCCTTCAGGTCGTGGCCTGAACTTACTTGAGAGTGAGAGGATTTATATAAGATGCTTCCAGAACATCTTCTAGATGAACTAGCTCTCTCAGTCTTGGTAAACACACACACACACACACACACACGCACGCACGCACGCACACACACACACACGCACGCACACACGCACGCATGCACATGTGCACGCACACCCACTATAGTGAGGTTTTAATGGAAGGAGAATGTGTCATAATCCCCAAAGATAGAATTCTACTTCAAAGTACATGGGTACATGTCATGTACCCTCTGGAATCTTTCTCAGTGTGTATGTGATGGTAGAATTCTCAGTTTCATTTCCTCTCTTGCTTTGAACTAGTCTTATTTGATGACATGAATGGGGGGTACTGTTTTTTCTTTTATAATGGTTCTTTTGTTTGCTCTGATTTTCAATACTTGGGTACTTGGAACACCAGAGAGTCTCATC